ACCACCGAGGAGCGATCTCCGGTCACTCGTAGCAAACGCCGACAAGGTCAGAAAACTGCTGGCGGTCTGACCGAGATTCGCAATCTCCGCGAATATATCATCAAAACGGCCGCAGCGGTAAAAGCGGTAAAATCTCAGATTCACCACGCTACCAGCACTGCACCTGAAATCGATCGGCTACTATACGAATCTCGGAAGACGCCCTTCACGGCTCGCATCACCGAGATCAAACTGCCCGATCCCGGAAAACTTAAAGTGCCGACTTACGACGGGACGTCCGATCCCAAAGCTCACTTACAAGCATTCCAGATCACCATGGGACGAGCCAAGCTCAAGGACCACGAAAAAGACGCAGGCTACTGCCGCCTCTTCGTCGAAAACCTAGAAGGAGCAGCGCTCGAATGGTTCGCCAAACTTAGGCGAAATTCGATCGGAAGTTTCCCTCGACTGGCTTTGGAATTCCTGAAGCAGTACTCGATGTTCATTAACCCGGAAACCTCCGATGCCGACCTCTGGAGCTTGGTGCAGAAGAAGGACGAATGTCTCCGCGATTTCATGAGTAGGTTCAAACTCGTCATGGCTAGGGTTAGCGGGATTAGTGACAAAGCCGCCATCGACGCGTTAAGGAAATCGCTCTGGTATAAATCAAAATTCCGCTAGTGGATAATTCTCGAGAAACCGCTGACGATCCAGGATGCGCTCCATAAGGCCACTGACTTCATAACCATCGAAGAAGAGACTCAAATCCTGTCCGAGAAGCATAAGCCGACGAAAACATTCGCGAAGGATAACGCGTCCGAGCAGAAGCAGAAAAAGAGGAATTCTCGTAACGACAATTTCGTCCATCACGAGGGACAGGATCTCCAAGGGGCACATAACTACGCCATCAACTCCGGTTCGGAGCAAGGGCGAACTACGGGTATTACGTGGACGAGAAATTTGAATTACGACGAGAATTCCTTCTGCGACCTCCACCAAATCCGCGGGCATTCCACCGTGAACTGCAAAGTTCTCGGCGCCAGACTTGCCGCAAAATTGGTCACGGGAGAACTTTCCGAGTTATCCAGTGTCAAGGATCTCATCCGCGATTCGGATCGCCTTCCGAAGAATGACAGGAAAGCGCGAGCAGAAACTCCGCCTCAGGGAAACCAGTCAGGCGAAAAACGCGGACGAAGACAAGACGAGAAGGGTAACGACGCTAACCGCCGAAAAATCAACATGATTATCGGCGAATCGCAATACTACAACGACACCATCTCGTCTATCAAATCCTACCAACGCAAAGCCGAAACCGGCTCGAGTTGGAAGGTGCCGACGGACGACTCTCCGAAAGGAGTGATCTCATTCGACGACGCTGAAACCGGCGGAATCGACCAACCTCACGCAGATCCTCTTGTCATCGTCTTAGTGATAAGCGATTTAGAAGTTGCTCGGATTTTGGTCGATACCGGAAGTACTGTCAACGTGATCTTCCGCAACACGCTGGCACGCATGGGATCGACCTCTCGGAAGTCGAGCCAATTCCAAAACCGTTGACTAGTTTCTCCGGCGAGACGTCAATGACCCTGGATCAATCCGACTACCAGTCGCCGCAAAATAAGTGACGAAAATCGTTAACTTCGCGGTAGTCAATTTCCCGGCTATCTACAACGTGATTATGGGCACGCCTTGGATAAACTCCATGAAGGCGGTTCTGTCGACATATGACTTAGGCATCAAATTCCCAACACCTACGGGAGTCGCAGTAATCTGGGGATGCCAAAGACAATCACGATCCTGCTTCCTGGCCGAACATAAGCTGAGGCAATTGGCGGTAGCAATCGTAAAACCAAAACAGGCAAAGGTCACGCCACCGCCCGCAGAAGACGACCCAAAGCAAGCAACGGCCGAGAAACCAGAAGTTTCCGCACCCATCGCTTCCACCCGGCCAGAGGAGATAATTTCGGATAAAGACATCGATCCTGCAACTGAAGCAATCGAGAAGTCTGCGACAGCCGAGTAAGCACACTTGCGCAAACAATCAGAACTACGAGATGGCTTGATTTCCGAAAGGAATACGTAGGCAGCTCGCCTAAAGACGAGTTCAGCTATCCCCCCTTCCAAAACGGGGGGGGGGGGGGGGGGGGGGGGGGGGCAGTGGGTGAGTATACGAGTATTCGTATACTCCCAAATTTTTTTTACAAAATTTCTTTTAGCTTTGTAATCGAAAAATTTTCGAAATTTTTAATAAAGACAGAGTTAGAATATCTCCGCTACTATCAAAAACGCAAATCCGAAAACCGCTTCCGCAGTAACAACTATTTAATCA